TATATGTATATGTATATGTATATATGTATATACATACATATATATGTATATGTATATGTATATGTATATGTATATATGTATATGTATATACATACATATATATATGTATATGTATATGTATGTATATGTATATACATACATATATATATGTATATGTATATATATGTATATATATATGTATATATATGTATATGTATATATATATGTATATATATGTATATGTATATATATATGTATATATATGTATATGTATATATATGTATATATATATGTATATATATGTATATGTATATATATGTATATATATATATGTATGTATATGTATATATATATGTATATATATATGTTTATACATATATATATGTATAAGTTTATGTTTTCAGAGTTTTATTTCATACTTTTGTTTGTGACTTCAGATGGAGCCTCTTTTTTGTCATCAACATTCAGCGGCTGAGCTTTGTCCAGTGTTGGTAACTCAACACTGATGCTTGACAACACAGGGATTGTTTACCATGGCAACGCCTCAGAAAACCAAAGCAACATGCTACTGAACAACACTGAGAGATGATCCGATATATACTTGACCTCTTAACATCCACGTGTCCACGCTCTTCTGAGAAACACATCAGAAAATTGAATTGCATCGTCTTTTGACACACTTTGTGATCGAGGGAGCCCCTACAGTAGGAATCCTCCATTAAAGCAAGAAGGAAACATTCTATTTAGAGCCCTTTAAGCAGTGGAGTTTAAGTAAAGATGGAAACTTTAATGTTGATTTTTAGAGAGGACTTATTTTCCCTGGTATAGTAGCTCCTGATATTAAAATCAATAAAGATCATTGGGTCCCAGTGTAATTTTCACTGTGAAACAGTATGATACATATAAAAATCCAGCAAGTTCTTCGATTAGTTATTTTTATTCATAAACCAGTTTAAAAAATCTCTCTTTTTGAATGGAACTATAAAAGTAATCATTTTTTTCACCACAAATGAATCAATGCACACATAGAAAGTAATCCAAGAGAATTTGTCAATGAAGGAAGCTATAAATAAAATATGGAATGATGCAGAAAAATAAGACTTGATTATATGGTGAAAAGAATTATACAATAGGTAAGTGAAACAAGCTGAAATCTCAGCATTTAGAAGGCTTTCCTGTTGCCATATGTAATTCTGTATTTGGCGGTTTAGTCTCAACTGTTTGAATCTGAAGACACTCTCATAACGACAGTAATAAATGGTCAAAAATCTGTAAAATCTACACAAAATGTTTTGTTTTTGCAAAACATGCTAATGGTGATAGCTACAGCTTCATTTCTAGAATTCCCGATGTTGCTGAGAGAACCACTGGAGCTTTAATCCTAAAACTGCAAAGTGCATTATTTCACCATAAATCAAGCACAGACATTGGTTTAAAAGACAAATCATAAGAGCTGTCCAAGCGCCAAGAGACTTTAACAGAGAGCTTAAGAAAGAATTGTAGATATCAGGCTTAGTTGTTTGACTAAAAGCAAGAAGAAATTGAACTTGGTTAGGGGATGCCAAAGCTATCATGTCACACTCCTTGCTTGAAGGAAGAACACCTTTGCTTATTACTGTGAAATATGCAAAATCTATGACAAGTTTGGCATTAATACGTGCCACTATGTACAAACCTTCACTATATGAAGACAATCTGTTTAGAAGAATTGGTCAAAACTCATTCCTGAGCAGTTTGGGTGATTAGCCTCTCCATACAGGAGACGTCTGGATGTTGTTATTACCCTAAAAGGCTTTTCCACAAATTATTGAATATATTTCTATAACCATATTCAATATTTATTTGCTGTTTATTCAAATTTCTACTTCAAATTTCAAGTAATTAGCTTTAATTACTTTGAAAGTGCCTATTACTTGGTACAATTATTTTTATTCTTCTGATTAGAACTATTTAAACCAAGTAAATCCCTTGGAAATCAATAACTATTTTACTCATTCTGTATCAACAATGATTCTTTAATATATTTATTTAAGAAATTTCATAAATAATAGATTGTTGTCTGGGTTTTTTTAAATAGAGGGTGTGGCTTCTTGTACTGTTGGGGGTCCAATGTGATGAAGGTGTCAGGTGGCTCCTCATAAGATCTCCGGAGAACCTGGACAGAACTATGGAGTGATGATAGGAGGTGCACTTTGTGTGTGCATGTGGGGTCATTAGTGGGGCGAGGTCACGGCCTGTTGGGAACAGATTATAGTCATGAGCTGGATAATGGAGCTGGTGTGTGTGTATTGATCTAACTTAGTCTATGGGGATTCATAATGCGGTCTCTAAATCTGCCTAATGACAAGCTGTATGGGGGAGTCTCTGCGAGTGTGTGTATTTTGGAGACAGTCCTGTAAAACCACACACATACATTTACACACACACACACTCTCTGAATCAGAGTTTTAGATTTAAAGGATAGAAATTAAAACATTATATTTAAGTGAGGCTATATAATTTAATCTTTTCATTAAACTTGCTCAGATTTTAAGCTGTAATCTTGTTCATAGCTTCTTTATTTCATTAATAAAAACATAATCTATTCTGGTTCTTTAGCTAAGGGTAGAATCGATAAAACAATGCAGTTTACTCCAGTTTTCCACTATTTGGTACCAACATTTTCTTTATTTCTTCTTTTGATTCGCAAAGGAAATTGTACTGAACACATAAAGACTAGATATATTTCAACACAGCTGTTACAAAAACATACCATTCAAGTCAAACATGTTTAAAAACTATTATTTGGCCTCTGTACAATTATAAAAGAAATTGTGATGATGTCAAAACATGTATCTTGTTTATTTTCTCTAAATTCAAAGAGGGGGTCAGCTGGCCCTGCACTCATTTGCCAACTCCTCACCCTCCTCCTAACATCTACCGAAAATTTTCAATGGGAAATTATTTTTCGAAATTATGAACAGACCTAAGATTGGATGCAAACTATTATATATGACATAAATCTGACAGATACTATTGTATAGTGAATCTATTTTCAGAGCAGGCCTTCTTTTATTTACTTTCCCAATTACATAGGCTTACACACTCGGTCGGATATGTGGAGAACTAGGACCTGCAAATAGCTCCTTTCCTTACGAAAGAGCAAAAGATAAAAAGAAAAGGATCAATTTGCTGTATTTCCAAAATGATTCAATTCAGTTATTTTATATAGCGCCAATTCACAACACATCTCATCTCAAGGCCCTTTACAATTTAACCAGATCATACAGTCAAATTGATTCAAAGTTTTCTATCTAAGTGAAACCAGTTGATTGCATCAACTCATTGACTCAAAGACAATCCCTCACACAAAGCATGCTTGTAGCGAAAGTGGAGAGGAAAAACTCCCTTTTAACAGGAAGAAATCTCCAGCAGAACCAGGCTCGGTGTGAGGGTCCATCTACCGAGGCCGACGGGGGTTCAAGGAGACAGAAGCAGACATAAAGAAAGAATCGGAGATACAAAAGGCAACTGTCAACCAGCTCCACAGGCAGCCCTGTCCAGGAATCGCAGACAAGCTCTGAGCCAGCTCCCGTGTCAGAGGACAAAGAGGGCACATCCAGCCAATCACTGTCAGAGAAACAGGACTACACTGAAAAACAGGCCAAGCTTGAACATCTATAAACAAACGTGTTGAAGGCAGCAGCACAGCTGATATTTCGCTCCAGGATGGTGTCACAGCCAAACAGGAACAGACCACATGAAGCTAATATAAGATAAAGCAGAGAGAGCATAACATTAGAGATTGAACTAGCAAATTCTGGAGAGTGTGAGGATAAAGATAGAATGAAGCAGAATGATGAAAAATGGGTCCCTCTGTCCTCCAGCAGTCTAAGCCTATAGCAGCATAACTATGGAGATAGCCCAGGACTCGGTCCATCACAGGGTTAGCTCTGGTTATTCCTAGGGATTCACATAAAATAACATTGTTAGCACTCACATTTTTAACAGTGTTATGGGCTTCCCGATACACATGTTGCTCCATGTATTGCTTTACATTCTTTTTTGTGGCTTCAGTTATGTTTTTCTTGATACGTTCCATATATGCTTTCAAGTGAGAAGCAGAGGAACGATAACACATTCCCATTTGTCTTGTGATCCAAAACTACTGCTCTGGGAATCAGAATTATATTCATTGCCAAGTAGGTTTGTACTTGCAAGGAATTTGACTTTTTGTTGACGGTGCAGACAAATTATATATATATATACAAAATACAGGATCTAGAGTTATATTCAATATCAAACATACAATATACTGTATACAATATAGTATAGTATATAGCTATATACTATACACACAGTAGGCTGTGCGTTAATGTAATGCAGGAGGTCTGGAGATGCTACGCTGGTGTAGCTTCTAGGTCCTGAACGGGGGAGGGAGAGAGGCAGTGTCAGTGTCACGGGGGTCTCCGGGCCTTGTTGATAAGGCTGGTAGCAGATGGGAAGAAACTGTTCTTGAGGCGTGAGGTTTTGGTCCTAATGGACGGCAGCGTCCTGCCAGAGGGAGGTGTTTTAAATAGTTTCTGGCTGGGGTGTGAGGGATCAGCCACAATCTTTCCTGCACGCCTCAGAGTCCTGGAGGCATACAGATCCTGGAGAGATGGAAGATTGCAGCCAATGACCTGAGAGGAACTGTAAACTGTTTTGGGTTTTTAATTGTGCAGTAGACTGAGAGTTTAATCCACCAAAAATGTTTTTGTTTTTATTGTTTTTTTTTTTTTTTTATGTAAGCTGAGGTGATGTTTTTGCATTTTGTTCCCGGAATCATTAATAGACAGGCAGCTCTAAAAGAGGTGCTATTGTTGCCCAATAGCGGGGAATTTTTGTGCACCTTCTTACTTTCTAGATGTCCATTCAGACATCAGACATGAACGAGACAGCTGACTTCTCTCTGTGATCTAGATACTGTAGAGTTTTCTCAAACTTATCACTGATTGCAGGGATGAAGGTGTTAAATGCAGTGAATTCATGTGTCTATGCAGGGTTCAGTAGCCGGCCCAGGTATGTGAAGGTGTTCATCAACCCAAGCAGCCACAAGAAGGAGGCCGTTCATATCTACAGAGACCATGTGGCTCCCCTTTTCAAGATGGCTGACATCCGCACCGATATCACAGGTCGGCCCGTCCTGCTGTTTATCTCTCCCTCAACAACACATTTAGAAATGACGTTCAGTCATTTATTTACTAGTTTTCAACATCACTATTCTGATCAGAGTTGGTCCAACCGCTACACAAAACTTATTTGTGTATCGATGTAAAAGAAAACGATATGAAATCTCTGTGTGCTCTTAAGTGTCCAGGTCCAAAGGTCAGAGCTAATGGCAGTTTCTGGTCGCTAGGTAACCTGATCCTGAAGGCGGAGCCAAGTCCATCTGTTATGACAGTTCCTTTCCTTTCCCCTTTTTCCTTTACGCTCTTCTCCTTCTCTCTACTTCTTTCATCTTCTTTATAATTCCTCCTCTCCGGTCTTCTCTCCCCTTCTCTCACAGTTTCTCCTCCTTTCCCTTCCCTCAGCAGATGGCACAATATCCGTTGTCCCACTTTTTTCTTTGGCAGCTATCAAGAGCACACTCGTGTTCATCTGACCACACACATGCACGAACACTTTATCTTTGTCCATCTCAATGTTTCTCCATCTGCTTACTTCTCCTTTTTCCCCTTCTGTCTCTCCCTCTGTGTCTTTATTTCTGTTTGTCTCTGCAGTAACCGATAGGAAGGGTCATGCTCTCTCAGTGATGAAGGAATGCAAACTGGATGAATATGATGGGTTAGTGGTTTCTTTGTTTCTCATATCAACAAAAAAAAAAACATATTTTTTTGCAAGGTTATCAATAAATTTGTGTGAAAAACTTAGTGATATTATTTTTATGATATATTATGTAACTACTATATTAAAATGCAGGAAAATTATTGCATTGTAGAAAAAGTCAACTCAAAGAACTTGTGAAATAAAAAAATAAATAAATGTGATTTATTTGATATAGATCTATTCAAGCCTGTATTGATTCAGTACCACATCATTGTTTGACCCACCATATTACATTTCACTTCATCTCAAAAAATGGGTCACGCTATGGCTAATGTCTAAAGTTATGACTACAATATGGTGATTAGAAACCATTGACCTAATTACCGAACTATTATCACTTAAATTACTTTTATCCATGCTATATTATACTCACTAGACTGTTACAGGTAGTGTTGCGCCGATGCCATTTTTTGGCCCCGATACCGATACTCGATACCTGGCTGTGCAGTATTGGCCGATACCAATACCATAATAATGTAAAATAATTGCCATCATGGCTTTGTCAAGCTGCTGCCTACCTTTGTGAAGCAGAAAAAAATCTAATACAAAGTGAATCCAGTAGAACTTTTTATTGCCTACCAGTAGTGGCTGACAATAGTTGAATAAACTTATGGCTCTCAAAATGGTATCGGTGCCCTATTTGTTGGTACCCGCCGATACCGATACCACCATTTTAGGGCAGTATCGGGGCCCCGTCCGATACTGGTATCGGTATCGGTGCAACACTAGTTACAGGGCTGCTGTTTTTCCAGGAAATCTCTAGCAATCATCTGGCAAGAGACAATGTCTATAATAAGGAAACAGAGAAAAATGAAAGGACAAAATAAACGTGGATAAACCACTCACACATATTCTAAATTGCTCAGTTCATCTGATATGCATGTTTTTGGATGTTGTTACTAAATGTGACCATGTGACTAAAAACATACACAATGCGAATGAAATAAAAAGAACGTTAAAGCTTTACAAACAAAGGTACCAGTAGGGATTTAGACCCTGCTAACTCATGCAAAGAAGGCAGTGACAATAACCTAATAACTGTACAGCCTTCAAAAATATATATTTTTTCCAACTGTCTATAAAGACTGAAATTATCTGACACGATTCCTATACCACTGTATAAAATATTGCCTGTTTGATGATTAACAGACAGAATGTTGTATAGGCAGTACTTGTTGCTGCTAAATATATGTAACCACATTTCTATAATCAACAAAAAAACATAGTAATTTTGTTAAAAAAGTGGCGTGGGAAAAATTATTCACACCCTTCCGAATAATCACAAGTAAAATCCCCATTGACATTAAATTAATTAAAAGCTTCTTATGTTTGCTGACCTAATTTTTTGCTTGTTTCCACTGTTTGATGATTATCTTTAGAGATGAGTTTTAAAATGGAAACACCTCCCCATCAACACCCCTATTTTATGACTTTGACTGTAGAAAATATCTGAGATGCCAAAGATAAACTAAACTAAAGATACAGATGTGACTGCCTGGCTTTAAAATGTACCGAAGGGAAGCATGTAATCAAACGGAGGTTTACTGTCAGAGGCCGACACTAAAACACACTGACCCAAACTGATCTCTCTCACATGCATGTACCTAAACCTTCACCAGTCTGACAACACAGGTTACAAGTTGCACATGGACCTTGTTGTTCTACCCAAGATGGAGTAAGCTGTAAGAACATAAATTTCATATTGTGGAAGCATCTTATGTTCTTCAAGAAGATAAAAACTTTACCAAACTCTCATCGCTGTATTGGTGTTATGGTGTGTGAGGCGGGATGTGTATGTGTGTGTGTGTAAGCAGCTTTTGTGCTCAGCACTCATAAAGCTTAATGTGCTTAGAGAAGATTAGCTCAGCGTTGCTAAGTTAGCTGCTGAGTGTGTGTGTGTGTGTGTGTGTGTGTGTGTGAGGCTACTGGTGAGGATTTGGTTGAAACCTACATTTGCCAATTAGGCTGGCTGTCACCGTGGAGACCGGAGTTTCAGGTAATCTCATGCCCAGGAAGAGGGGGATGGGGGTGGAGCCAGTTTATCTCCTATTTACTGCAAACGTGAACCTTGAAATAAATAAATGACTTTATAGTGTTATTATCATACTACTAAAATTTCCTCTTCAACATCAAATGACTAAGATCCTTTTGTTTATAAATTTCTTTAACAGTAAAACTGTTTATTTTAGTTCCAATCAAGCTGTTTTTTTTTTTTCCAGAGTGTCTTTACCGTCAAATTAATGTTTGTTTTATCACCAATATGTTGTTCAGCAGATTGATGTCTGCCTGTTTCAAAGTGAGAAATGCTTTTATTGTAAAGGGGAGGATATTCAGAGCTTAATATTAAAATCATACCTGCTATTTTTCCAGGATCATCTCATGCTGACTGTCTCTTGTACAGACCGATGAGAGATGACTTCCAGGAAGGATTTAGTGTTGTGTATCTTGTAATGAAATATGCTGACACATTCACAAATATGTGTAAAATGCTTCAGTTTTATTTAGCAATAAAACAACAGTTGGATAATGCAGGTCTTCCGTACTTATGAACCTTTGTCCCTTGCAAAAGTGTTCACATCTCAAACTTTTTTGCATCTATTAATGTAAGAAACACAAACTTTAATATTGTTTATTTGCTATTTTATGTTAAAGAAAAACACAACATAGCACATAACTCCGAAATGACGGAAACAGAATCAACAGTTTTCAAAGTCATTAGAAATAGATAGTTCTCATACAGTAAATAATTTGTCAAAAACACCTTATGCTATAATTTCAGTTGGATATATTTTGGGTTATGTCTCTAACGGCTTTGCAAAAACAGAATATGTCTGTCCCTATTAAGAGCTTAGTCTCTTTCATAATGGACAGAGACAATCTGCTAATACCAGTTTAAATTAAGCATGGATTTGACTGGGCATTCTTAAACTATTCTTTTTATGTTTGATGTGAAACTCCATGTCTTGTTAGGTTTAGAGTCGTGATTAGGGGGAGTGGTGGCCTAGTGGTTAGGGCATAGAGCTTGGAATCCTGAGATTCAAGCCCCACTCCCACAGAGTGCCACTCTGGCTCTCTGAGCAAAGACCCTTAACCCCCCACTGGTCCCCGTGTGCCCCACGATGGCAGCCCACTGCTCCCCAAGGGGAATGGGTTAAATGCAGGGGTAAATTTCACCAATGTGAGATCAATACAAAAAAAATCAAATTAAACTTTTTCAGTTTTTGAATGCAGTGTCAGTTCTCTGACACATGTTAAAAGCAGTTGATATTATTTATTAAGTGACCTCTGAATGCAATTGGTGGCAGCTGATTTTGGTTTGGGTGATCAAAAGAAAGAAGGTTGTTTGTTGTGTTTTTCTCAAACCATTAACATTTCATCCCTCTTCAAAATAATCTGCAACTTTGTACTTTATATTAAGAAATCCCAATGAATCAAATAAGAGAGTGTGGTTGTACTTTGGAAAATAAAAAAAGAGGAAAATGGAGTGTTGATCTACATAGTGGGTAACAATCTAAAAAAGTTTAAAAAAATTATTTCATTGTTACTGGCTGACCTTTTATCTATAAAGTTGTATTTAATGCTAGTTCTAGGTCCTAAAACAGAGCTTCACAGATTTCTTTTGGAGTTTTAAGAGTTCCAAAAAAATTTAAAATCAAAACCACTGCACTTTTTTTCTTCTTCACAGTTTTAAGAAGTTTGTTTTTCTACAAAATGTCTTCACCTTTACAACAATTTCCCAGGGTTGTTTGGGGGGGGGGGACCTGCCTGTCCTGAGTGAGCTGTGTTTTCACCTGTCTGTCAGGGTGGTGTGTGTTGGTGGGGACGGATCGGTGGCAGAACTGTGCCACGCTCTGGTTCTCAGAGCTCAGCTAGATGCCAATTCTCCAGAAAAACCAGTGAGAGCAGTGCTGCCACTGGGAATCATTCCTGCTGGTAAGAGCCTTTTTTAATCCATACACCATAAAAAAATGACCAAACCCGTAAATCTTTGGCTTTTTTTGGTTTCTGCTTCATCAGGTTCTACAGACGTGGTTTCCTGTTCGGTCCATGGGGTCAGAGATCCAGTCACAGCTGCCCTCCACATTGTTTTAGGTACGCTCCTTTTGTTTGATATCTAGCATTAGACTGTACTGGATTCTACCTGATTCAATGTCCCGGACATTAGATGATCTACGGTAAAGTCTTTGAACAGATTCTGCATGTTATAGGTCTATGATCTGTATCTGCATATAGGTGGTAGTGATAGGTTTACAGTGGACATATCTGAGTCTGGGTGATGTTAAAGAAGCAGATCAGGTTAGACATTAAGTAGAGCATCAATGGACAGACAATATGAAAATATTGTTGTCTGTCTGAAGCTGAAAAGCTTCAAAACATTTCACACTATTCGATAAAAAAAGATCAGATATGAACGTGTGCGAATGGAGGAATGTTGCCTGCAAAACACAAAAAATATTAATTTATTCATCAGTAATTGAAAGTATTTTCTGACTTGATGTTGCTCTTATGCTATGAAAAAGGAATTGCCCTCTGACTGTTCTAGATGACCAGTGTGAACATCTGCTCTAAGTACATTCTATCTTTTTTACTTCTAAATTATCTGGTCCCTCATTGTGTCTTCAACCTGTAGTGAATCCATAGTTAAATTCAATTCATTCAAAATTTTCCACCCAATCAGAAGCTTATATTGTTCCCAAACTTGGATGTGATTGGCTGTCGTTCCATTAGAGTGGCAAAGGAGAGCAGAGTTTAAAAAAACAACAAACATGCAGACAGATGGTGGTACTGGGCTCTGGAGGGAGGGGAGCCGACAGATGTCCGACTGTAGGATCAGTTTCACTAAATCACAGGTTTTCCCTCCTCATTGTGGTCCCGCCCCCCTCGTCCCCCCCAACAAACCCTCTTCACCTCTGTCCGTTTCCTCGCAGGTAAATCTTTCGCCCAATCAGCTTGCAGAGACGCTTGTTGTTGTTTTTGTTTGACAGCTTTTGGCGTGATGGTTCACCATACATAATTAATACTTGTAGCTGGTGTGTGTGTGTTTGTATGTGTGAGACAGAGAGAGGTGGAAGTATTAAGTGACACGAATAGGAGTAAAATCTGTGCAAGAGAGTCAAAATCAGGCGGAAAGACTTGGATAGAAATTAAGTAAATTAAAATATCTTCTTTAATCCCACTGATTTATTTTAACTCTCTATTTTTTTCTACATTTTATCAAACTTGTTTTCTTAAATTCTGAAATTCTTCTCTGAAATCAAAGAAATAATGTAGAGTAGTCCTCTGATAGCTTCTCATCAGTTCATAAAGCTCAGTTGTTCCCTCTGCTAACTTCCTCACTGCTGTGACGACACATTTCTTCTTTAATTTGAAAGCTTTCGGTAGATTTATTCATAAAAATTGTTCTGAAATACAGTTTATCACAATTTTCAATGAAATTTCCCACTGATTTCTTGTAGCAGACCAACACAAAGACAGAGAGATATTGTGAAAATAATGGAAAATGGTTTCAAAATATCATAAAAAATAATGATATCTTAAAAAATAAAAATGTTCCATTTAAAGTGATACAACTGGCACATGACTACATACTAAATAAAACTCCTACTAAAACAGATTGAAGGCTAAAGCGTTAGCGAGACAAAATGTAAACATCAAACTAAACCATCTCTTGGACCCTCAACCCATTGTTGGGTTGAGGGTCCTCTCTGTGAGGGCTTTCTGCCTGTGAAGCCTGTAAGTTTCTGTGGAGCAATTTTAATTTTTCTGATACTTAATAAAAATGTATGTTAACTAATAAGTTTGTGTGCAGTGTGTTTAGGTGACGGACTTGCAACATTTTCATTTTGAAGCTATCCTCTCGCTGCAATCTGCATCATGCCGACTGAGACTTTAAACAAGACTGAGTAACTTTAGAAAAGAGATAAATGCATTATATTCCTGAGCTTTTAAAAGTTTGGGGAATTTTGATTTTATGAATCAAAAGAATTTGTTTCCTCTCCTTCATTAATGGAAATACACCACAAATGTGTTAGAATAAATTAGAATAAATGTATATAAAAAAATAACAGCAAAATTGAATTTTTTTTTTTTTTTTTACATATCCCATTGTTTCTACTCTCACAACCCTATATCTACAGAGGTGGGATGAAAATCGAACGAAAATAAATTTAAAAGAGCAATTGTTTTTTCCTGTTCTGTAGATGCTTATGAATATTAGATGAGCCTTTAAAATGAGCTGCTGGTTTGATCTCGGTGACACAGTGACCGTGTCAGCTTTAATCCCACACAACACACAGAGCTCCACTAACACACTGACAAAAAGCCATATGGTGAGGAAATCAGATTCAGCCAGAGAGACAGACAGGCAGTCAGTAGGTCAGACAGGTGAGGAGACTGTGGTGCAGTGGGCTACAGCAGGTATGTGGCCAGATGGCACGCCATGTTTGTGTTTGGTACTGACAAATTGTTTACATCCTTCTGGAAGCTGATCGAGCTTTTTTCCTCATAAGGCCCTGGTGATGAATTCAGATTTAATGCAATTCTTATCACTCCTTTAGCTTTAGTCCTCTTTCCTTAGGTATTTTTAAAGAAAAGATAAATTATGTCCTGTGTTTCAGCTTTTTTTTTTTTTTTTTTTTTTTTTGGGGGGGGGGGGGGGGGGGGGTGTCACTTCTTTAGCCCTCAATCTTTTTTATTAGGAGTTGGGTCACTTCATTCATGATGCCATTGCAGGAAAGATGTGGGACCAGGAGGCGTTTTTATTTTTGGGGGCATCATTAGTTGCTACTGCTGCCTCACAACATGACTCCAACAACTGTATTAATTTATGCTTCTGGAATAATCAAAGATGGTATCATTACATACATGTGTCTGGTCTTCATAACATTAAACGTTTTTTTATTTTATTTTAAACAATATGACTTTTAATATATTAGTGTAAAAACTTCCATGCTGTTTTCAATGTTTTCATTTTAATTTATTATTAAATAGAGTCCATCATTGTGAGATTGAATCTCACGATTTCCTGCTGTTTTATGAAGAAAATACATTGTAATGCAGTGTTTCCGTAAAAGTACAAAAAAAAAAAAAAAATCCACTGTAATGCAGTGCAACTACAGATTTATTAGTACATTTTAGTTCAACCAATTTGACTATCATTAGCAAGGATTCTCACTATAACTCCGAAGGAGCTGCATAGATTCACTGCTCAGGTGGAATGATCTGTTGACAGAATAACTCTTTGGTCATACACTCACAAATATGACATATTTTGAAAGACTGGTAAGAAAAAAAACTGTTTTATTCGACTGCTACAAGAAGACTTCCATGCTGTAAGATAAAACTGAGTTTTTTTTTGTCAGTCTTTCTAAATAGGTCAGACTGGCAAGAAAAAGCTCAGTTTTATCAGACAGACATAAAAAGACTTATGTTTCTGTGCTGGGGGATCAGCAAACCTGCTCGGATCTCGCCTTCATTCCAAACGATAGGGGTAATTAAAAAACTAACATTCCAACATTCCCTGAACGCACAACCGCCAGGGGCAAACATGGTGGAGGCAGCAGCATGCTGTGGAACAGAGAAGCTGCAGAAAATTGGGAGGATGAGATATATTGTGTAGGAATGGCTTAATAAAAGTTCAAACCTTAATTATTTGAGTTACATGTGCAAAGCTGGAACAGACACACCTTGTTATGGACGAATTAGAGTTGATCTATCACATTATATCATTATCACATCAAACTTTGTTGTTGTATTGTGTCAACATTTAAAATGCATTTACAAGGTGATACTTCTCTGTTGAAACTCTCAATATAGCTTTAAAGTGGTGTTCATTTTATGGTTTAAAGCCTACTTTAAGCTTACCATTTCATAATGCAAAGTTTTAAAAAGAAAAGATAAAAGATGGATGTAATGCTAAAACTCCGGGTATCTCCTGTCTGATCACAGGTCACCTGCAGCAGGTGGACATGTGCAGCTTCTCGTCTAACGGCCAGCTCGTGCGTTTCGGATTCTCTGCCATGTTTGGTTTTGGTGGCCGCAGCTTAGCCCGGGCAGAGAAGAAGAGGTGGATGCCATCGTCACGGCGACGAGAGTACGCTTTGGTGAAGACGTTGGCCAGGCTCAGGTAACTTTATATATATATATATATATATATATATATATATATATATATATATATATATATATATATATATATATATATATATATATATATATATATATATATATATATATATATATATATATATATATATATATATATATATATATATATATATATATATATATATATATATATATATATATATATATATATATATATATATATATATATATATATATATATATGTGTGTGTGTATGTATATTTTATTTTTTTTTCGTACCTTACAGGCATTGAGATGTTTCCTTTTTATTCTGTTTTCAAAACTCTACTTGAGCTTTCATATATTCATGGTTCATCTGTTACATTTCACAATGAATCATTAGAAATGTGCTACATGTTAACATTCAACGCTCATTTAGTTGAAAGCATATCTGATTTCTTTTTCTGTTTCTGTCTCTATCAGACCAGAAGATTGTCAGCTGTCATTTCTACCTGCAAAAAGCTCAAACAGGAGTTTTTCTGCACACCGGTGAGAAACATATTAAGTCTGTATTGTGCTGTAGAAGTAGTGACGTTTCCTGGGAGTTAACACAGGCAATTATAGGGGAATTAAGCTGATTTTAGAGAAACGTACCATAACCCTGACTGCTGATCATAATATTACTGGATTTAATCATTTTAGTGTTTAAAAAAATGCTAACTTAAATTAATTGCTTCAATTGGTAATGAGTAATTGAATCAAGTTGAGCCAACTTTATTTATTAAGTTTTTATTTCACATCTTTCTTTTTTTTAGAATATGACCATCTGTATAAAATGCATAAACTGTGCATCTTCTTCAAAGCAGGAACATATGAAGTGAGATGAATATTTTAAAGATGCTATTATAAAGCATTTCATTATTATTTATTTTCTGCAGTAGTATTTACACTCTATCTACTCCTACTTTTCAAAGGTAAAATGAAACTGTCAACACTGGGTGGCGCTGTTTACAACGAGGATATGATGCAATTTCCCAACTTTACTGCTTATCCCTAATCACTGGTCAAACTGACTTAATTTGACCAATCATTTTTAAAAACTGTTTACTAAGTATCCAGAAAAATGGTAAACTCTGTTGATAGATGTTAAAGTGATGTAAAATGATTAAATTTGGGGTAAAGAGTGATCATAAAGAAAAGAAAAAGTGGTTTTATTGGGTTTCTCTTAACTGTTTTTCCTTCTCACAGAGACCAGGGCAAAGATCAAACAAAGAAGCCAGACTCAGGTTAGTGCAGCACCATTTTTTTTTTTGCAAGGGTAAATGTGAACTGAAAACCAGAGTTGGTTTAATGTGCTACGACGTTTAACAAGGCCATCTTTACTTTGGCGTGATGTGCTTGGTCTATATAGAGATGGAGGAGTCTTGGATAACCAATCAGGGGTTGTACCTAAGCATCAGCATCATGTCTATCCCCTGCCTGAGTCCACATGCACCTCAGGGATTGGCGCCAAACACCAGGTACACCACAACTACTCTAAGACAACCTCAGGATGTTTCTGCTTCTAATGGCTCTCTTTTAAGTTCCTGTGTTTGTTACAGTTTAGACAACGGCAGCGCCTCACTGATCGCAGTAGGTAATGCTTCCAGGTCAGAGTTCATCAAGCACCTCAAGAGGTACAGCAGCTCTAGCGGACAGGTGAGGTAGCATCAACTATCCACAACACACACCAAAAATGTAATCATTAGGATCTATGTATGCCCTTATTAAGTACTTTAGGCTTTCAACATCTAATGAAAACCCTTTCCAAATCAATGATTCCTTCTCTGCTGAATTTGATTTATTCTCAGAATCATTAAACTTGTGTAACAGTATTTTCAGGGTTTGTTAAAAAACAAAAATGGTTTCTATCACATTTAATGACATACTAACTTCATTGCAATTAGGAAACAGCATAGATACAATCCATTTTATTTTATCTCTATAGAATATAAGAAAAGAATCATAAATGTCTGAGTAATTACATTAAAACAATCTTACTTGATCCCATGTTAGTGTGCAAATGCTTTGTCTGCATCCATAAAGATCTAACTCTCTTGTCTGAAGTGGCTCAAACATCCTACTTTAAGGTTAATGGTGCTTTTAAATATAATCACATTTATAGACTGTGACACTGCACAAAATTGAAATCTTAAAATAAGTGCGTTTTGTCTTAAATTGAGGAGGTAAGTGAGGCACTGCCAGTGGAAAATAACTGCATTGTCTTATTTCCAGTATATATTATCTGATTATTTTATATTAAAAGTAAAAATATTAATTGGATTGGCAAATCATCTTATTTACCTAGTTAAATTAAGGGTGTATGCAATTAAGTTAAGAATTATTAACTTATTTTTAGATTGTTTTTGCAGAATAGAAAACTAAAATGTGATATAATGGCAATTAAAGTCTGCAGAAAAAAATAAATCCTAATTTCAGATTTTAAAATCCGACATTTGAAATTTAGTCCAGAGGTTTTGATTTTATTTTGAAGTCTAATGATGAAAAAGTGCTTAATTCAAACCAGTAGTATAAAACAGAACAGGATCCAGTCAGGAGCCAACCTTTTATCAGTCAGTGACCACATAAAGCTCAACCTTTTGCTCTGGAAAAACAACACAGTTACATGCAGATTAGCCTGATTTAGCCTGGCTTGAGAGACTCAATGTTAACCCACTTTCTAAATATACTGACCCTGTGCCACCGGCCAGCAAATTAAAAAGCACGCTAAACTGAGTGACCTACATTTGGTTAGCCTTCATGCAAAGAGTAAACACATCAGCTTCAGATATACAGGAGGAACGTCTGACACATGAATGTGAGGATTTTCAAACCAGATTGTGTTACACTGTGTTTTCTTCCTTGAACGGGACTTTCTCGGTAAACAGGTTTCCTCAAATGGTTTCCTTACTTGGACAACAGAAATAATTAAAGAAAAATGCTAAGCATCTTTTAATCAGACAAATGGATCCAACGCATTATTCTATTCTGTTCTCATAAACTCTAGACAAAGACACAATAAACCTAAAATCAAAGATTTAAATACGTATGAAATCATGTAAACTTTAAAATGTACATCACATAGAAAGATGTTAGAGTATATCAACACATATAGGCCACGTTCTAAAAAGTGTTTAGTGTCATGCTTTCAATTTAAGATAATTTTATAAGATATTGCAAAAGAATGGAAATAGTGACAAACTTCAACAATTATATCAGAGAAAAAAGGTGTCATTGTCTACATATTTTAGGGTTTAAATGTGCTTAGAGTTTCCATTGCATTTAGGGGGGCAAACAAAGGTTTTTGACCAGGATTTTGTTATAAACTATAATAACGCTTCATCACAGGATCTTTTTTTGTTTTAAATCAGATTTACACACAGATGGAGACTCATTGCTAGTCTCTGCTGCCCCCTGTTGGCACATCACGGCAAGAAACAGATGATAAGTAAATAGGAAGGAATTCAATCACCTCAGCTCAAAAACAAGCTGCTTAAGGGTTTACAAAACTCCTCAGTCTTCCTCAGCTTAGCTCTGACACACAGCAACCTTCTGACTGTCTGTCTGCAGTTCAGCTTCCCTTTTGTGGAGACACACTCAGTGTCAGAGGTGAAGATTCGGCCCCGCTCACTGATTGGCTGGTCTGAGGAGGATAGTGAGGAAGAGGGAGACTCCAAAACTACACCCATCATCCAGTCAGAGCGAGCCGCTTTCCCTTGGAACATTGATGGAGAGCTGGTGGAGATCGCTCATGATGTGATCATCAGGTGGGAATACCCATGTTGTCAGGAATAGAAACCCAAATCACTGCAGGATTCATTAATGTCTTATCTAAATATAGGTTTGTCCTATATTGCCTAATGGGAGATTTATTTAATATTTACATCATATGACTTAGTTACAGGTCCATTAAAAAATGAGAGAAGAAAATACTTTCTGTGTTAAGAGGTTCACCCCAAAGTGTCTCTTTTTTCCCCCTTAAGGTATAGAATGATCCTCATCCAGAATGCATCCACTTTAACATTTCTATCCTTTTCACTTAAATTCATATTAGCCAACCTCATTAAAAGCTAAGCAGAGTAATTCTGGATGCAAAGCATCTTCCAAACTGTTGACACCTCTGATAAAGATCTGAAAATTGTCAATAACCCTGAACATTTTTTTAAATTTTGGAAATGCTTAAAATCAAATGTTTAATGTAAGAATTTAATTGAAGGGAAAATATAACAGATCAAGAAACATTGTATTTTGTGTTTTTGATTAAGAAATTGTTGATTAATCAACTCTTCCCTACCATTACTTGGCAAAAAAAGGATCAAATTGGAATCACACAAAGTTTAAAACTGTATGGATAGCAGAGGATCTTCATCAGCATAAAACACAAAGATCAAATTTCATTTATTCAAGCCTCAAAATGAGAGACAAGTGAACAATGTCATTTAAATAAGGCATTTCTGTTTTTCCTCATTAATATTAGCAACTTTAGCTGTCACTCAAAATTAAATCAGACATTAAATAACAAAAACATCAATGTCTCCATTATTGATCTAATTTAAGTAATAGAAAAAAGTTTTTTCTGTTGCTTGACAGATGTTACTTTATCTGTGACGTACATTCAAACCGCCGCCCCCTCTGCTTTTGTCCAGGGTTCATCCGAGACTCATCACTCTGTATGGAGAGGAGGTGGATGAGGCAGAGTCAAGCATCACCTGCAACTGCATCTGAGACCAGCGACTGCTGTGGCACTGCTTTTCATCTTCTGTCACCATGGAAACCAGTCCCACAACAAAAAGGTTTTACTGGCAATGATGTCCTATATAAAGCAGAATAAAACTGTCAGCTATTTAACAGATAAACATTTACAGAAAAAATGGCCCACATCATCATATATCTTCCACCATACCTAATAGTGGCCACCAGTTTATCCCTGAGGCTTTAATAATTATAAAATGAGTTGAATAAGGATTATTTTATGTTTTAACAAATGTTTACAAATACTGTTTGACAATGTTTTATTTGCAGTAATCTTTGTTAGTGTGGGTTTTTAAAGCACCCAGGAAGTATTTGTGTTTTTAAAATACTCAAATTTTTTTTACTGAATATTTCTCAATGGATTCTCTTTTTTGATATTTGATCATTTTTTGTTCATAAATGAAAAAAGCATAGTGTTTAAATAAAAAAAAAAAACTTTTATTTTAATAGAGTATTGAGAAAAGCAGTGAGACGCTCCAGTGCAGAACAAACTTTGATAAAAGGCTAGCACAATAAAAATGTAATACAACATTCAAACACTTGCGTGATGTGTATTTGTGTGATGTGAAAAACAAAGGAAAACGGTTGTTTTAACATGCTGCATTCACAGAATACAAGAAGCTAAAACAGCACTTTAGATACATCAAACTTTTCTAAACACCCTTTTCAGGTAAATATTCATTTCTTTGGCGTAGTCAGAAGGTGATTCGGTTTAACAGCTTTTTTAATAATCATTTTAATTTCAACACATTGTAACTTTTAGAATATTGTATAAGTTAAATTAAGTTAATAAAATCCTTTAAAATGGCTAGGTTATTATTGTTTCTAATAAAGGCTTCATAAGAATAACCATTTTTGTATCTGCAGCTGTTTCATTTGCACACCCTGTGGACTTGCTACAGTTTGTTTACAATAGGAATGATTATTTAGAAGTATTTTTCTTAACAGCATTGTTTGTTTTTTTAACACAGCTGCGAAACAGGAGGTTTTTCTGCATGATTAGTTGTCATTGACACTCTCAAGAAGACTTGCTTCGTGTTAACAAGTCAAATATGTCTGGATTGAAATAATTCGTAATCTAGATGTGCCATTAAGACAGCAGGGCCCCATTTTCCAGCATTTATCTGTGTCCACCTATCGGAGTGCGCTTGTTGTATTGTTTCCCTTTTCCTGCACGCTCCTGCAGCTTGTTTCCTTCAGACGCTTGGACTGCAGTCCAGTGTGTGGCAGCAACTGTTGGACGGTGAGTCTGTGCTCTCTCTCTGCTGACCAGCAGGTAAACTAAAGATGAACCAATCAGAAGCATGGTTCCCATCCCCTGAGATCACCAGAAAAGTCATTTGATTTGGTTCTTCTTCAGTGTTTGCACGCAACAAAGGATGCATCATAACCTTTTTAGCAAAGGTTTGACAGTTTTAGTTCTCCATCCATCCATCCATCCATCCATCCATCCATCCATCCATCCATCCATCCATCCAGTACTGTGGTCTCTTTCAAGACTTTAGGCCAGTCCGTTTTTTTTTTTGTGAAGGCACATTCAATATACCAGTTCAGGTGCGTTCAGGACTCTTTCACCATCATCCATCTTTGCTGCAAAGTTTCTGCACAGCTGAGGTGTAAATTCCACCCGATGTCGATGCTCAGGCGTCCTGGTGAGAGGCAGCAGCCGCTGTTAAATAGAGCTCTCCCTCTTGTTTAGTTTGGGAACATAATCCCAGCTGTCCCTGTTTATTTCCTCCTGCTTCTTGAAGCTTCTCTTAAAGAAGCCAGCCTGGGAATCAGACAAAAAAACAACAGAGTTGTATGCATAAATGCATATCCAAGCAGATTAAATAAATGTATCCTAAATTAAAAAAGGATAACAAGTGATTAATTATTAATTACCTTCCACAAACACCAGATGAGAGCTGCCAGGATGAGAAGTCCCAATACTAAACTGACAACGACGATGAAAATCTTCACAGACATCGAGGGTTTCTGGGTAAAAACTGCCTCCACCACCACCTGGAATATATAACCTTGATTATAACAACTAGAATTTATAAAGCCCTGATTTAAGATCTGGAGCAGTTTTACCTTTTCCACAGGTGGATCTTTTAGTAGGACGGTGTGAGGACCTTCTCTGGGAGATAATAAAGTCGCTGTGCTTTCCACCCGCATTACAGGATGACGACCCTGAGACAAAGCAGGGTTCGTTCAGAACATGTAAACAAGGCTGGTTACATATTATCAAATAAATCTTGACACATTTAACTTTCCAGATATCCAGATATGCAACACTCATTTTCAAATATAATGCATCTTTTTAACATGGTTTGTGTTGCAAATGATTTTCTAAACAAAATCTGAGTTGGGTTGGGTAAAAGGTGCCCTACATTAAAGGCACACTATGCAACATTTTTCAGTTAATTAATGTGTTCCATAACGTTTTGGATGATTAAATGAGTCATTTCAGGTTGAACAAAGGTATTCTCGGCCGCCCTGGTGGTCTGTGGGGGAAAAACCGCACTTGCAACTGCAGGAGCATCGACCCGCACCCACAGGCTCAGAAGTCTCGTGAGAGTCAGTCTTGCTTTACGGCGAGAACTGCTACACGCCCCCAGTAAAAAGCATTCTCGTTGCTAGCACAGTGGCAATCTTTGTGCAGTTATGCCACGTTCACGCAGCAAAAGCAGCAAAATCGCGTCTGCTGCTTCCTTTTTGCTGCTTGTACCAGTTAGTTCTGACGCGCGGCTGAAGCAGCTTTGCTGCTCTGGCTGCGCGGTGCAAAAGTGTGTCTGAGGCGCGTTGGGCGGAGCTTCACTATCCTTTCTCTGCCTTGCAGCTATATTTGCTGTGATCAGTGGGAATAAAGTAGTTTTAATGTGTTTAAGTAAGAAAATACACCTGAAAACGTAATCAGTGCAGTCAGTTCATTCAGATTATTATCCTGCCTTCAATATTTTTTCTGTCGGAGCCGCTCAGACCCCCACATACCAGGGATGCGCCGACAGTATGGATCCCTTCATCAGCAGCGGTTCACCGCGGCAGCTGGTAGGTGTTTTTCATCTAAATAATCCAAACTGCTTATTCTGCCGGCAGATTTCTGCATTTTAAGTTAATTTAGGCGTCAATAAACTGTTTAAGAGGAGTGATCATCAGCGCTGTGTCTCTCTCCCTGCGTTAAACGCACCCGACGCGCTGCTTCAGCTGCTCAGACGTGCTGCGCCTGCTGCTCAAAACGCACCGCGGGACCTTTTGCTGCGCCTTGACGCGCGTCAACCATTGACTTTGCATGTAAACTCGCTGCTTCTGTCGCGCCAGCTACGTCCAGTGTGAACGCAGCATTAGTCATTCGCTGCTAAGCTCAAAACAACCGCGCCTGGCTTGACGGAGAAACCAGGAGAACAGCTGAGCATATTTACGACAGTGCACTTTTACTTTCGCCCTCTGGAGGGAGCCTCACTGGAAAATCAACACCGGTTGCATAGTGTACCTTTAAGGAATGTCAATCCAACATGTCATTCTAACATTTTTGGCCTAATGTTGTTTTACTGTAGTGTCGACAAACATTACCGGAGCTTGGAGCAGCACAGCAGGGTTCAGGCTGATCTCCAGCTGGATGGTAGCGTCTCTCCCTGCCTCCAGGTTACCGAGACGACACACCAGCTGCTCACACAGATGATCTCTGCGGCCACAGTACTGCACAAAAACAAATGTAAAACATTTAAATCCTGTCTGACAATTTAGTCGTCCGGCTAAAGTGACAATATGTAGAAGTGGCCCTTAACCAGAATCTACCAATTTTCAGCTTCATCTGTTCCAATAGGTGATCTTTTAGTTAAAGCACCGTTCCTTCTACAGTGTTTACGTTGTTACTGAAGGATGAGTCTGTGTTCGTTATTTCCATTATTATTGAGGTAATAAACATTAAAGTGATGTGAGACACAGAAACAAGAATTTTCATTAACGTGTTAGAATGTGTCTGTAATAAATTCACAGCATGAGAGAAAAATGTTGAATTGATGCCAAGATGAATAATAAAAAACAATGCAAAGCATTTTGTTTTAGTTTGCAGTTTTTTCATGTAAACTGACGACAGAAATAAACCCAGAAGTCCGGTTAAAATTGCATAACTTTCCAAGTTTTAAGCTGCAAACGTTACTTTAGCTTCCTAAAAAACGCTGTTTCATTCTCTTTTCAAAAATAGTGTAGTTTTTGCAAATCAGGTCTTAATAAAAGTTTACAGAATTCCATATCATGCCAAATTACAGCTATTAAAGACAATGGAATCAGCTGAAATGGAATCAGCAGCTTTTCTTTAATTCCACTGTATAGAGTCGAGCTGTCATTTTGCAGTTGTGACTTACCATTGTGCGGGTGCTGGTGGGAGAGAAGAAGAACATCAGCTGTTTGATGAACGAAGTTTGAGGAACATTACAGTCCTCTTCAACCAGAACCGTTTTGTCACTTATTGAGCACGAACCATGTGATGACTGAAAAAACAAAGAAGTAAATATTTTGTTAAGATGTCAGCAGGGTTTATTTCCACAGTCTACATGAGGAATGATTGAAACGTTATTTCTATCATTCCACAGGCCTACCTTCAGGTCGATGACCTGCAGCAATCGGTGTAGGTGGGGTGCGAGGATTTTTGGCACAGCAATCTGCACCACAGTATTTATCGCCTTGCTGGGACCAGAGTTTATCACCTGCACAAAAGAGGATTCAGGTTTATTTTGATTTGGTTACATTACCAAATATGAAAAGAAGAAAGTAAAAATACAAGTTAATATGATTCTGGTGTTATAGATTAACCTTAAATATATATTCCTGTATTAGAAAAACAATTTCCCTTTATAATATATTAAAACAGTTCCCAACCTCAGTGTGCCTTTCATTCTGAACACACATGTGAACCTACCTTGTATGTGTAGTTGAATTTTTCAGGGTAGCAGTCAGCTGGAATTAAGTCTTCGTCTCCGAACACAAAAGAAGTTGGGGTCACAAAACTGCAACGGTAAAGACAATTAGTCCCACTATAGTGGCAGCTAGCATATATAACGCTTTTCATTCTGTATATTTATTCTTTCTATAAACTGTAATATAAAGTTAATAAATTAGTATTGGTAGAGCTGACTGACCCGTGGATGCTGACGCTGACTCCATATTTCAAGGGAAGAACAAGTGTGAGGCTGTTATCTTGGAGGAAGTTCTCCATCTCATAGTTGGCGCTGCATGGTGAAAAAAATAACATGACATTTAATGCATCTTAGTCTATAAACTTATGACAATCTAGTCTTAGAGTTGAACTTAGGGGATAAAAATACGGTCTGGTTGTCTTGTAGAAAAAAGGCTGGCGGTCGTTACCTGCTGGTGTTGATGTGGATGTTAATGTCACCAGGCGTGCTGTTCTGATTGACATCGAACAGAAAACTGATATTTATCTGTAAAAAAAGAAAAAACAAGGACACTAAATGGTTACAAAAACACAAGCCAAATTCTTTAACCCTGTCAAACATGAACCACAAAAAGAAGTATTTTTTTAAACTAGAGTCTTAACAGAAAATTGTGTCAATTGCAAAAAGAATCTTAAGTATCTTTAGTGATACATCAGCATTTTCTGTTCACTACATGCATCTGATTGTAAACATCAGTTTTTCTTTTAATAAAAACTAGTATCACATTGATTACAACTCATGAATCTACAGTAATGATAGACTTAGCCTACAGGCTTAAATTATTATTTTACAGTCATTTTTTACAGTCGCCCCATATTTAATTCTTAATATGGGGTGGGTTCTTTGTGCATGGAATTTGCATGTTCTCCCTGAGCATAAGTTGGTTTTCTTCGGGTACTGCGGCTTCCTCCCACAGTCCAAAAACATAACTGTTAGGTTAATTGGTTTCTCTAAATTCTCTGTAGGTGTGTGAGAATTGTAGCTTGTCCTGTTTGTCTCTGTGTTGCCCTGCGTTAGGCTGGCGTCCTGTCCAGGATGACCCCGCCTCTCGCCTGTAGACAGCTAGAGATAGGCACCAGAACCCCTCGACCCCAGCAGGGATAAGCGTGACGAAAAATTGATAAATGGATTGAATTCGTATCATGTTAAAAGGATTTTTCCACTATATGTTTAACTTCAACTGATAACCTGTTCATTATTTGCTCTGATAATGAACCAGGCTTAGAAAGTCTCTCAGTTTGAAATCTGCTAGATGTTCTTATGGATGATAAAGGTACATCTTGCCAGATATTTATACCACTTGACATATAATTGTTTACTGCATTTTACAGGGATTTATGCTGTGGCTCAACACACAGTATTGTATAATTGTGAAATTAAAGGAAAATGTTGCAAGTTCTTTTTTTTTTTTCTTTACAAATAAATATGATAGGACTGGTGTATATTTGTATTCATACTCTCCGAGTTAATACGAATGAAGTACAGCTCGATGCTGAAAATATATTTCTGTGAACTGGACAAAGACTTTTAATTATTACATGTTTTCTCCATTTTGCAATGATACTCTACCAAACAGAAGAAATAAAATACAACTCATGTTTTCAGCAGAAATGCAAGGAAATGTGAAACAGTGTAAAGGAGTGTGAATATTTTTTGGAATGCACATTGCTAGCTGAGCATGCACTCCCATCAGTGCTGCATGGATCCAAACAGTAAATAATTACCTGGGAGCTGGCTGGCAGGATGAGGCTGGTGATGCCGCAGTCGATGCTCACGTCTGTGGCGTTCGCCTTCTCTGTGACGTCACAACTAATCACGTTGTCCTGCTGCTCATACAGAGATGGATAAGGGTTCTTTATTTGGTTTAATACAGACTAAAGTGTTAAATTGCAGAATTAATAAACCATGAAACTCTGACTTGAGTTCCCTGGTTTCAGCGAAAGCAATTACATCTTCCAATGTGGTTCAAAAGGAACCGAGGAAACCTCAGGAATTAACAAGAATTTAAAACCAAACCAAACAGTCATTTCTTCCTCCTTTTGTGAAGCGTAAACTCACATTATTCAACACTTTGATGAAGTGGATGATGTTTGGGAATCTCAATGTCATTCGTGGCAGGAAGGCGTCATCTCCGGCGTTCAGCAGAGAGGTTTTCAGGATGATTTGTCCAGAGCCGAGAGCAAAAAAACTCTGTTGTCTGTAAATGAACCACAAGTTCGACATTTTATCCTTTGACACTATATAAAATCTGTCTGTAGGGGCACTGATGTACATACTGTTGTGGCTTCATCTTAAATCTCTTTCCTATTCTTTTGTCTCCTCTGTGAGTCTTTTAATCTGCTGCTAACCTTCACCATTTTTGACAGCAGCTATTGATGGGAATCCCCTTTTCAAACTCTTGAATATCTGCAACAATCTTGACATTTGGTCAGATGCAAGCTTGTGTTTTTATTATTATTGGGAGCGATTTATCTTATCAAAGTTCATGCTATTGGGGGGGAGTCAGTGACCTTAAATGTGCCATTATAGTGGTGACAGATATTCTGACAGAAAATCTGATAGAAGGCACTGAGAAAATGATTAACTATCTAGTAAGCAGCAGATGGGTTGATAAAAATGGCTCAGGTAGGAGGAGATGGGCTGAGTTCCTGTTACTGTGGAGGTTCAAGGCTTCCTTTGAAGCAGCAGCATAGACCACACCTTGTTTTTCTCCTGTCGGCTAAGGACAATAAACTAAGGCTACAGCTCAGCTCATTCAAACCTAAACATGAACAGATCAGCCAAATTTTGCCGGGTCCAAGGAGTCTCTATTTGAGCCTGTGGATGGATCAGAATTAGCTGTAGATTTAACATAGAAGCACTGATCCATCCCACCTGGGATCGCTGGTTCAGGTTGCTGTAAAATACCATTTTTAAACAACTGAACTTTTAATAAACACCCCTTTAAGACCACAGGGTAACCACCGTCTGATGGTTACTTCCAACATGCAATCAAATCATCTCAATCTGGTTTCTTCAACATGATAATAAACCACTGTACTCCCCTGATCTCTGCAGTCAGCAGATCCAATGCTAAGAGAGCACCAACAACTTCAAATAAAATCTCTGAGAGATTATTACTAACACCGTGTTTAATTCACACTTCTGGGATGCAATCCGATACGAACAGGTCGGACCTAAAAAGGTGACCAATGGCTATATATACTTTACTGTATATATAGATCTTTTCCTGAACCACAATCTATAAATAAAAGCAACGTGATGTAAAAGCAAAGTGATGTAATGGATTCGTCCTGTTGCTAATTACCGTCATGTGTTCAGAGGGGGAAAAAGTCCCTGTTTTTGTGTTATTGGAGAGCTGAAAGGCTCATTTTGTTGGCCTTGTTCATAAAGCACAGCACAGCTGACCCACTGCAGTGACCTGTGAGGCTTTTTCACTATCAATCTAAAATAAGGTTGTGGTTTTAGTTCACTTCAACATATCTGTTTCTGTTTGATTTACACAGAAAACCTGTTGTGCACGCTCTGCATGTATGTATGTGTGTGTTTCCTTACCCCGGTAGCACCAGTTCACTTGAAAGCTGCATGTTGGTTGAACAGTTCACCAAAGAGCAGAAGCGTGCGAACTGAGTCTGACACAGAGAGAGAAGCATGCTGTTTATGACACCAGTAACAATGAATGAATGCAGAAGTCAGAGCAACTTCACCGAGCATCTTCCAAACAGCTACTGCGACCCCTGACCCCGAAGCTACAGACGATTAATAATAATGATCTCATGACTCACTCCAGCTGTGAAGTCCTCTTTCTTAACTGTTTTTTTTTTTTGTGCTCTGTGTTTGCTAGTCAAGGAGAAGTAAAGTAGAAACACAGGAGCAGGATGTTAGCTAATGTGCTGCAGGCACTGCAGCTGTGAACACATCTGGGTAAGCAGCAGGGTATACTCTTAGGTATCTGACTTTAAAGCAGCTGTTTTCTCAACTTTAAATCCAGTTTATTAATTAACTGAGATGACGGCATTTTAAATTACTTCTATTCCATGAAAAATAAAAAATCCTGACATATTTCTTTGCATATAAAAAGAAATTCTGAAGGTTTGTGCCATAACAAAGACAGCTTTGCTCCTTTGAGGCTACAAGAAATAAGGAATCTATCTCTATGTTGATTAAACTTTGAAGAATCTAAACTTTTTTATTTATGTATTGTAGTCAACACGTGGACTTCACTTTAATCATAAAGAAGCGGTTCATTACTAGTGCATTACTAGTGCATTTTTATTGTGGAATCTAACTTTGTAAAAATAAATTACCCATATTAAAATAATGCTAATCAAATAGTAGCTGTATAAATATCATAATTTTAACCAGTTTAGTGTAAGCAGGAGAGATTAAATATTTTTTACCATCATTAAGAAAATATTGGGGCTTTTATTCCAAATAGTACTTATAACTTTTGTTTTATCCCAAACTGAGTCCATATTAAACCACTGTAATCGCTCCTTTAAAGTATATAATTATGCTAATCCAGTTTGGGTTACTTTACACTATTACAGATAAAATAGATGAGTTTCTGTTTGACATATGTTGGTACCTGGTTGGTGACGGTGTTACGATCCCCTGTGCTCTGCTGCAGAATTGGTTTCAATGGAGGGAAGGCTTTGGAGGTGCTTCTGTGGCTGATTTTTTCTTTGAGCTGGAAGGAAACTTCAAACTGAATAGGGGTGTAAATGTCTTTAACATCTTTCTGGAAGTGGGAAAAAAAAGAAAAAAAGGGAAAAATTGAAAAATTCAAACTAATTGCTAATCCTGTGGGTAAACTGTATGATATATTTTTTTCCTCTATTGAATTATTGTGTCCCACCCTTTGGTAAACAACATGTGTTACACAGGTGTGGTGGCCAGGCCGTGCCTTCAAATGACCCCTCGTGCTGTTCGATGATCCATTACCGTGGAAATAGAAACGGTGAGGGAAGGATGGTTTATGGAGGATGTCGGAGGTCAAATTATACTGAAGCTCTGGGGAGAGAAAAGCATCTTCCACATAAGTAAGTCATGGCTAAAAGTTAAATAGATTTAACTATTAAACCTTCAAGCAGAGTGTATGTTTATAATTTATATAAAATATAAAATAAATCGAAAAAATGAGTCGAGAACAACAATTTACACACTTTTCTTAGCATTAGAATTCAATGTACCTATTGCCCCTTTAAAATGTTTAGATGTAACATGGAAGCAGATCGTAATGTTGAGGCAGACTGTCGGATTACTGGGAGCTTGACATAGCGCCGCCTGCTGGTCCACCTGCTCCGGTAGAATCAGAGTAGCTTTCACTTGAATCACTGGGCGGGTCCTATGGGGTGCAACAGAAGAAACTCTAACGACTGAAAGCTACTTGAAAAACAGAATCACAACATTCTCCTGTTGTCTTTAGGAGATAATCATTATATATGCATATAGATAGATTTAACTATATTTATATATATATATATATATATATATATATATATATATATACATATAAAATATTCCCTTTCTATACACCTATGTGTGGATGCATCATTATGACTGGAAAATGTTTTGTTTAGACAGAAAAAAAACATTATTCATTTACCTGAGAACCACAGCAGAGTCTGAGAGGAATGCTCCCACAGCCACATCTTTAGAGACACAGTTAAACCACATTCAACACTGATCCAGTGAGAACAACATAGAAATATCCAGAAGATCCTAAGTCCTTTTACCTTTGTAGCCGTTGTCATCGATATCAATCCCAGAGTTAAGTGACTGCCCAAACATCCTAAGGTCATGACCCAAGGAGGACCCTGAAATCCTCTGAACATGCACAGTGTGGAAATCAAGATTAAAATGCACTGTTAAAACTAAAATTACATCTTGACCCAATACTGTGTATTTAACTAAGCAAAATGGTTACGCCATCACGTCCAAACTGCTTGCAGACGTTCACACCACTGCAGTGGAGATTGTACCTGTGATGGCGTTTGTGAAATGCCTTCCTTCCTGCCATTGTAGATGTAGACGGCTCCTTTGAGTTCGTCTTCCTGTGGAGCGCCAACGGCCACATCTACAACCAAACACACAAGCTGTTTTCACTACATCTGTGAGAACTTCTTTCACACCTTTTTTTCTTTCTTTGAATTCAAAAAATGTTGCATCTGGTTTTAGACTAAAAAGACAAGATATTGTATGTCTTTGTGATGTGTGGTTTTATTTTTCGACCAACTAGACCTCCAGTCGGCTAAAGAAAGAGATAACCTGGTAAACTACTTAAATAGATTAAAGTTTGTTGAAATGTGAAGAAATGGGAAAAAGCTTAAGCAGTGTGAATCTATGCAAATTTCTGTCTGTTAGTATTTAACCTTAGTTAAATAAAGTCAAATTCTCAGTCATCTCAGTTGACACCTCTCACCTCCTGCACCAGACTGTAGAGGAGCTTAGCGGCTCTTTTACTAAAAGACTTGTACACCCTGTTTGTAAAAAGGAGCGGTACCACAGGTAATTTATCCTTGCTGCCATCAGACTCTATAATGCGGCACTATAACGGCAATAACTTGGTCACTTACTAATATGCAATTACTATTTAATACCCCATGCAATAACCTGTTAATATATTTGATAAATAATTATATATAAAAAATACCCATCTATATAAATACCCATTTGATACCGTGGGCAATAACCTTGTATAATAATCCTGTTAAATAAGAGACTTCAGCTGTGATATATACATATATATACGATTTTTGGCCCTGGCATTTTACCATCTACACTGACCCACTTATTTGAACATAAATTCACCAAAAATAAGAGGAACATCATAGATTGGTTTAAAAAAAGCAATTTAGTTTTATTATAATTTAATTTGTTGAAGGGATTTTACATTTTGGTGAAATAGAAAATTACACCATATGCCAACTGTCACAAGGATGTGCATATTTATATATATATATATATATATATATATATATATATATATATATATATATATATATATATATATATATATATATAAAGTATATAAAGGTGCATAGGGTATATACCATATATACAGTGTGTCCACATATATATATGTGGACACACTGTATATATGGTATATACCCTATGCACCTTTTCCTCCTTTTCGGCCCCTTCTTCTGTTTGACTATTTTCTCCACTGTGAGATCAATAAAGTCAATCAATCAATCAATCAATCAATCTGGATGATGGCAGCCAGAACACGGGCTTAAATTGGAAGGCATATTGCCGGTTATTTTCTCAAATCTTTCACCACTGTATTTAAGCAGCATAGGGGTCACAACTACAGAGCAACGAAATTCACTCTCTCCATTTAACCCATCCCCTTGGGGAGCAGTGATCTGCCATTGTGCAGAACCCCGGGAGCACGGTGGGGTTAAGGCAAGGCAAGGCAAGGCAAATTTATTTGTATAGCACAATTCAGTACAAAGACAATGCAAAGTGCTTTACATGATTAGGGTCTTGCTCAGGGACCCAGAGTGGCATCCGTTAGAGTGGGGCTTGAACTCAGAACCTCGGGATACCAAGCGCAATGCCCTAAGCACTAGGCCGCCACTCCCCAAAGCTTGGTACGAACAGAGAAAATTAACAATGACTCCTGGAAAGGTGTTGAAACATCTGCAAAAAAATATGAGCGGAAGTCTGGTTGCCTTTTAGTTTTAGCCTGTTTTGTGGTATAACTAGAAAACACACATGTGCTCATCACAGTCGCTTACCTCAAAGGTCACTGTCTTGATTTACTCTGACATGTGAAATGCCTAAAAACACAACTTATCTGCAGTTTTAGCTGCAACTCATATGAATATCAACAGTAGTTTAAACCTAACTGAATGTTTGGTACCTAGAAGGCCCCACATGTCAGTGGTGAAATGTATACGTCTCCACAACGTGAGGAATACAAGCACTCACACGTAGCTTTTTATCTCACAGTGGCAGATTACAGGGCTTGTTCGCTTACAGGGTAGCAACAGTTTGTCATTACAGCTTAATGAACTTAATAACACACTCCACCCCTCACAAACACACCGCACACACAGATGGTGAGGGGCCTTGCTTGTATATGTGTGTGTAGGAGCGATGTGTTAAAGGCAGGATGACGCTCTGTTATCGGAAAGTGACAACAGGCGCTGAGGGGCTGGGCTGTGGTCCTTGGGTTGTTTAGCCCAGCATGCCACAGAGCTACAGTGGTGGTATTTGATAAAGTAGCAGAGAGGCGGGAGATCTAAGCAGACGGGAGAAAATCAGCTCTTAGCTCTGCCTAATTACAACTGCTGAGGTGCCTTGGAGCAAAATCAATCCTCCTACAGCTTCTTCTCCTTTTATCATCCACATTTCAGTGGATGTTAAAAGGACCGTCAAATTATTAGAGCAAATAGTCTTTTTTTGCTTGATTGGTTGATAGTAAGAAAAGTAGCTATATTAACTTCAACAAACAACATAAAATTCTGCAGTGTGAAGCAAAAATATTACAGTTTCAGCTAGAGATGTAGGGGGTTCCTACCTGGATAACCATCATCGTCCAGGTCTCCAAGTTCAGCGATGGTCTGTCCGAACCGGGCCGCGTAAGCATCGTTGCCCATCAGCGTAAAATCCATCTCCTTCAGATTAGCCTGTGAGAGAACTTTGCATAATTAGGGTTTATGGATGGATGGATGGATGGATGGATGGATGGATGGATGGATGGATGGATGGATGGATGGATGGATGGATGGATGGATGGATCTTCGTACCTTTCCCTCATTGATGTAAACATGCACCCTCCCTTCTTCCCTGGAGGTCCCCGTTGCCATGGGGGCTCCAACCAGCAGGTCTGACAAACCATCAGCATTCAGATCCACCACACAAACACTGGAGCCGAAATAAGATCCCAGCTGGAAAGAGACTAATCTTTTAGATAAAAGAAAGCATTGCTGTCACTAAAGGTTTTAAAATGTTAAAAGGAAAAAGTCTCACTTCTTTTCCTGTAACGGATGAAACCATTTCCATCATGTTATCGTTGCCTATTGAGAAGATGAAGACCTGAAATGTGTAAACACACATTGACTGCATTTAACCGTCAATACTGCTGACAATATCAATAAAACCGAACTTAATCAGTGACACAAACAATAAAAGATGGAATTAGGGTTAAATACCTGAGGTAAAGCTGTAGATATAAATTTCCTGTGGTCCTACCTTGCCCTTCTGACTGAACTGCGGAGCTCCACCCACCACCTCCATAGATGAGGGACTCAGGAAGTGACCAGCTCCAACAGCGTAACCTGAAGCACCAAGAAACGTTATTATTAATGCAATGTTCACTAAAGTCTGAGAACATAGACTGAGCGTTTGTATTCATAGCCGAATGGGGATATAACACCTGTTTAATTTAGTCAATGGCAACATATAGTTACTTTAAAATGATCATTTAGAGGTTTTAATTGCAATAACCAGTTCAGCAACACCACTGTGGTGTAGATTTATTTTAAGGTCTGTTAAATGATCTCAAGTTTTGTTTTTGAAGCTTGTAAAGGAAGGAAATGAAGCGGTGCAAACCAACTCTTTAAAGCTAGCTGCCTTCCACTGCTGCTGCAGCCTCCCCGCCCCCACCCACCTCCTTCCAGGCGGTGAAACAGTTTCATTACGTTCCACAGTTTGATAAGTTGAGGTCGGTGTTGAGAGCCACAAGGTTAAACCCCATGCTAAATATCTTCTGTTTTTGGTGTGCACTTGCTAAATAATTTAGTCATCTTCAGAAGGTTCATTCATTTTCAAACCCACACTGAAACCTACAGTGGGTGTATAATTGTGGATCTGTGTTGTGTTTGTGAATAAATCCTACAATGTAGGTTTGTTTGATCTGAGTAAAAGGCCCCGTTGCAACAATTAGCATAATCCCTCCTTTGTTGTATCGGCAGATAAAGAGATGGTTATGATGCAACAGCTGTGATGAGATAACAAGGCCTCCTACCTAACATTGCAGATGTTTCACCAATTCTAAGTTTCGAAAATGACTTAGACATAAAGTGAAATATACAAAATGTCTTATAAAAATGTCTAAAAAGGCTTGAAGTTATTAAATATCAAACTTTAACTCTAAAGTTACATTTTAATCTTCAGACAAAGTGAACTGGACACTTTAATGTGACATAAGGTGGATAAATTGTAATATTTGTCAGATTTTAAAATAACGTTTCAGCAGATGTTAAACATGCTTTTATTTAAGCCGACCTTTCCATATGAAAAAGCTTTTTGTTTTTTTTAATCCAATGTAATATTCAATTCAGAAGAAAATGTTCATTAACTGTAAGCAGGAAATTACCATTTTTTACAGAGATACAGACTATCTAGATTCATTTGTTTAGCGAATAAAGTTGATAAAATAAATAAACTTCTGTTTAATATTTACATTTTGTGGACATTGCTGTATATTGTCTATTGTCCAACTAAAAAACAGATTTATTAGAATGAAAAAAAAAACTGCCATAGCCCAGTTTGTGAAGTCCTTCCTCTGGTGATTCAGGGATGGATATTTACTCTTTGCGTTCCCCAAAAAAAGCCCTCTTGATTTTCATGGTTTTGGCAGACGCACAACTACTGGAGCTATTTTTAACTGCACCCACCCAGATAAAAACACAGTTCCATCTGAAGAAGTGTAATCCCAGATAATGAAACTGCCAAAAATTTTTGTGGTTTAATCAGAATCAGTATAATCAAGCACTGCTTGATAGTCGGTGAATGCGTTGGAGCGACACACCCTGGCTTTAATTGATAGTTTTACACCTCTGTACTAATGATTAATAATATATTTTTTTTAATTCTGGAAACAAATGCATTCCTGTTCTGTTGAATCTTATAAGTATAAGTTTTACAATTTGTAAGAAAACATTTGCACGTTTATTCAGTCAATATTTAATACAGCTGGCACAATATGTTGTTAAAATATGATGACATACTATTTTTCTAAACTTAGCATATTGTGAAAATATATTTAACTCTTTATGTTATGGACAGATCCGCTTGATACATCAGATTTGTAAGCAAATGGCTGCTTATCAATTAATCATTAGCTGATCAATAAGATCAATGAGATAAATCTACTTTAGATTAATTCATTAATAAGTGATTTAGATTTCTAATCTATATACTTAAAAAACTCAAAGTATTTTTGTATTTGACCTTAACTTTGGATGCGTTACTCTTTTCTGAAACATTTCATGTGGAAATCATCAACATTTACTATTAAAACAATCAGTTGTCACATCTTGAGAACAGATATGAGTTGGAAAACAGTGAAGTCCATAGGAGCTGGGACTCTCAGCACCTATATGTACATCTTTATTCACATCTTGCAAAGAAAATTAACATTTGGTTTAATAACCCAACATGCAATACATCAGTAAATGATGGATTTCTACATTTCAAGCTTATTATGCAGAACTCTCACTTCAGATACTTTAAGTGTAGAAAAAGTATTTTAAAAAGCCATTATGAGTCAGCCAATGACAAGAAATGTACAATAGATCTTCTGTCCTTGCATATTTTTTCACATTGTGCATATTTTTTCACATTGACACAATAAGTGACAAGACAACAAACCCCCTTCTTTAACACTGCTAAACACTTAAATGTGAAAAGACATGTTACTTTCTGTGTATGGCAGTTTAGAGACGACCTGTTTGCAACAGATGTCAGTTTCTATGTCTACATGTATTACGTGCTGCCAAAAGTGGCAGTAAAAAACCTGCTTTGCAGAGAATGAGCTTTGCAAAACAAATGTCCTTGCATCTAAGTCAGACTATCTAAATTGTTGAGTTTAGTTGAGAACATCACACCTTTCAGACATACATTCTGAGAGGGTAAATGTACCTTTATGGTAAACTACCCATTTTGTCTATGATTTTGTTAAATGTCTGCTTATGACAAATGGATGAGAAGGTAATATATTGTGTGCTAGAAGCTAAAATGATGCCTGCGTCATGCAAATATGGGCGTTTTGAATATGAAGATAAGAAGAAGGAGTTTCTGTGTGAGAGTGGCATGGAAGGAAAAGATGAAACCTCCTTTCTTCATCCGTAAATTAGTATTTGAAAAGTCAAATGAAACATGGCATAGCTCAGTGAAAAATAAATAAGATGCAGTATATCCTCTTACTTTATGAATGTTTCTAACATTTGTAGAAACACATAGGGTGTGATCTTCAAAGATTTTCTTGTATAAAAACACAACCTTGTAGAATGAGCAAAGCTGATCTACAAACCAGCTAAAAATCAAACTGCATGTCTGAAATAAGCTAAACAGCAAGCGCAAACAGTATATAGTGACCAATATAAAAGGCGTATGTTGTGATACATTCTTCAGCAATAGCCCTTAACCACAACATGGAAATAACTGTTGAACAATATTAATAGGGAAAACGACGCATCCGTAGAGAGAGTAATGCAGCTAAACGGAAACAGAAAACACTATGACTGAAATAAAGTGTAACTCACCCCAAAGTATATATCTTTAGTTTGATAAACTGTTTAAATCTGAATCTATGGGGTGCTATTTTAATGTTAATGTTGTGCCTTTTTTTTTTTTTTTTTTACATTTTGCTCAAGCATGTTCGGTTGTGCATCATTTGTCTCAAAAGCATCCTAGTGCTGCTCAGTGTGTTGAATAGTGGCTATTGCAGTTGAGTTTTCCTGTTAGTTGAAATGGTATGTGCTGGTACATGCTTTCTTAATAATAGCCCCAGGTTTGCGTATAAATAAAATTCAGACACTCCATAGTGAGCCATCCTGTCCTATGCTGCCTTAGCACCATCACCTGTAGGCATCACTAGTTCAGCGCCTACAGGCAAGCAGCTCAAACTAAAAACGTTCTACTAAACAAGTTCACATGAATAAAATGAAGTGACATTAAAGCCCAGTTAAAGCACTTTAACCATGCAAAAGTTTGATTTTGTGGTGAATTACGCTTTAGGTAGAAAATGGAGATAAATACAATGGTTAAGAGATTAAATCTGACATAGTTGGCTTCTCTGACTAATCTCTGAAGGGGTTCAGAGGTAGGAGTTGAATAATGTATTGTTATGTTTGTCAATCATATTACTGAGTCCGTATTTAAGTCTTATTCTGTTATATGTTTCATCATTATCATAATTCTTACCTTCAGCTCAAAGTTTGTTTTTATAAATCACAATATTTGCAGGAAAATGAAAAGTTTCCAACCCTGTTTTTTTTTTTTTTTTTGCATAAGGAGGATTTATAAATAAGACCTCAGGCCAATTGATGCTAAACTTCAAAAAGCGTCATGGTTTTTTTTAAGAGCTTTAAATATATTTTGCCAATCATGCGGAACAGAAAATGCATATAGCATTTTGTATAATACTTATTCATAAAAAAAATAAATCCTTTTTGTTCCCAAAAGTGCTGTAATGAAACTGAACCAAATGCAAATGATTACAGTAAAGATACACCAGACTTTGCAATATATCCCCAAAAAATCATAACTGTATCTGAATTTTTTATGGCGTTACTACTCCTTTAAATTGTAAAGATATTAATAAAAGTGCATGCGTCAGAGCACCATGATCCTAATGGTTAAATTCCTGAAATAAATGAAGGTTTACAGAGGCTGTTCAGGATAATTAACAGAATAAAGCTTTACCGAGGTAGCTTCCAAAGCTGACAGCTCCTGTTTCGTCATCAAGATAAACTGACATCGCTCCTGAGGAGGTGTTGTAGGCCAGAACTGAGCCCGTCCAATAAGAAGTTCCTGGTGCTCCCATGATGATCAGATCCTGAGAGAGAAGAATTCTCTGAGTTATCCTTGAATGAAAAACTCAAGATTCGTTGCATATATTAAAATTCAAATTACTGTAGGTTGTAAAAACCAAAAACTTTCCTATAAAGTTCTGTACTTTTAGATTGCTTCTACCTTCTCCTCATTTCAAAGCCACTTTAAAGAACAAGCTGCAAAGACAAGTGAACAACAACGCTTTTCTTTACTTATTAACGTTGTTATTGAGTGAAGAGTTTCACCAAAATGAATTATTTCCAGGATCATTTAGACTGTGAGAGAGGGCAAGTCTGAATGGAGTTAATCTGTTATATCATTTTGAGATTTTAAACCCCCTTAGAGAAAGATTTGAAGATGATAGCAGCTTTTTTTTAACTCAGATAAAAAAATCAGCTACAGAATCCTGATTATTGCATCACTAAATATTACTGGAATGTTGCAGGAAACATGAAGGATTTTAGAGAACATGTCCCCTGTGTGTTACTGACCTGTGTCATGACGTTGGAAATGCCCGCCTGACATGATCCATAATATTCACCGAATTTCCTCTGATGGTCTGTGATTGATAGAAAGAGGTGCTGAGAGGTGAAGGGGAGCAAATAATAGCTGAAAGTATTATCTTTATCGTTGAACAGCTGCTAATTTCACACAGACAAGGTTATAACAGACCTCGCACTGTGACACGTGACCCGACAACTATAGATAAAACACCTGCATTTTACTGTGTTTATATACCTTTGTAGCAAGGAATGAGGTACCCGGAGAAACTCAGGTCACTTGTATATTGATAACAGACCCCATTAGGGAGCTTGTTGTTCTGGCTGTCTTTCCTTGAGTAGAACACGTTCTTCCAGCGGTGAGCACATGCCTGACACACACACACACACACACACACACACACACACAAAGCATAAAACAAACAACATGTGACAACAAAGCTATTAGTCACACACTGACATCAGTGTGCTGTTATTTCTCCAGTGTCACATTTATTGATCTTTTAATTGAGCAACAAAATGATGAGACAGTCGAGACTTTTCTTTGATCGCACCACTGTCAGCTAATGAATGCCTTTGTGGTTTTAAAATTTAGCAATCCGTTCTCCAGTTGTTCCATACTGCTATTTAGAACAATGCAACTGGTTCTGCTGAAGGCTTAGAAACACCGTATCAGGAGGAAACAATTATTAAGAGAGATTCCTGATTCACCACTAATTGTTTCCACATTAAAGCTTTCTTTTTTTTGGATTCTTTAAATAAATGAATGTTGCTTATTTTAGTTTGGGGGTACTTTTAGAGGTGTTACTGTTACTTGAAAGGTCCTAAACAGAACAGTTGACGTTGCCAAACATGGTCAACATCTAGTCTGTGCGTTGAGACATTCTTTGGTTACTTAATGGCTTGGACAAAGACTAGAGGATCAAATGTGCAGAAAATACCAACACTTGTTACTTTTGTTAGTTTTAACAGCCCTGGCAGTTGTTGCAATGATATCAACAATTAAAAAAAAACAGAATAATATATTGTATTATAATATTAATCATATTATTATATTATATTATCAGTTAATCAGGAGGTAAATGTACAAATCGTTACAATAATAATTTCCTGTGGTATACAGGTTGTTTAATATGTGTGTGGAAGCACAGAAGTATAAAAAATGATTTAACAGGAAGCTCTTTTCTACAGTATCCTAGGATTTTTTTTAGGTAAATTTAGGCTGCAAAAGGGTAAGAGAGAGCAAGACTGTCAGTAAATGACTGAAGATTTACTGATGTACATTAACAATAAAAACTTTCCTCTATCATTTAGAACTTTGAGTCTCTGTCTCGAAAATACTGGGACTAAAATATTCCATTATATCATCAGTAAAGTGGAGAAAGAGTCATAAACAGCCAGTATGGGCAGCAGCTATGGAAGAGATGAGGCATTACCAGGATGAGTCCACCATTTTCACTGGATTGTCTTGACAAACTGACGCCCAGCCACTGGTGATCACTCTCAGCTTCACACGTTTTACCACAGCTTGTAACATCTGGACACAAAGAGAGATGGTTTGGTGATGATATACCTGCTGTTTTATCTGTTATTTCCTGCAAGATGACATGTTTCAAATCCCTTTAAATAGAACTCAACTCCATGTTTCTACTGCATTTGCACCATATTCTTCTGACCACTGCTGCACTTTATAAATGGAAATGTTTATTTCACTGCTGTAAGCTGCTCATTCACTGTTGAAAAACTGTATGCATTTACATTTCGTTTTGTATGCACTCTGTGTATGTCTTCAAATGTTAATTTATGTATTCTGATTTTGTCAAGTAACAGTTGCAGAATTCAGTGGGTTTTATTAGTTTCAAGAGAGAAACCATCATCCAAGACAAGAAAGCTATGTGAAGCCGTATCTTTCTCATGATGCTCTTAAAAGGGTTCTTTAGGCTTCTATCTTAATAGAGGAGAAAAAACTTAAAGACTATAGTGGATGACAATTTTATATTATTAAATGGCAAACAAACACTGACCAGCAGGCATAGGGTAGCATGTGCGCCTCTCAGCTGTGATGCTGCAGCGATAAACTGCTCCTGGAGACTGAACCTGCGAACTGGAGGAATTAGCCACTGGAGCACCGACCACCAGCCTGAATGAAAAGAGAAGGACAGGATTTGTATGGGTATTTTATTGTGTGAATAGAGAGCTGTGTGCAACGAATCAAAGGTCTTTTCTTTATTGCCAAGAACAGACTAATTAGTGTGTATAAAGACAGAAGCAGGACACACAGACTTCTTTACAGGAAGCTGACCTATAATGATCATTAAAGTAATTACTATAGGAGTCTAATACATGGAGAAACAGCAAACTACTGTTTTACATGACAGCATGAACAGATACTGTTAGCATCTATTAATGCTTATTAATGATTTTTAAATATCAACCAAATATCAAGAGCAAATAAAAATCAGTGTATTGCAAGCATTGCATTGCACAAAAATGATCTAAAAATAAATTTGAGATTAAAGATATCATAAGTGGATACGTACTTAAGGGTAAATAAACTGAGGATCAACTGGCCTGCAGAGAGGCCAAATAAGAATTTAGAAAATGTAAAATATTTTACAGGTGGAGCAAGAGCCATACCCTAATGAAAAAAAGCTCTATGCTAATACAATAAAGTTAAATATTGGATCACCTATAGATAAGTTTGATTACAACTATGGAGCATTAATGGCAGATTAAGAAAATAAACATAGTTTAAAGCAGACCATTTGTGAGAGTAGTGGCGATGCAGCAGCACAGAGTATCCAAACATTGAGGAGCTGGGGCCGTTGAACACCAGACTGTGCTCCAGATCCAGATTGTAAGCTGCAGCAGGACAGAACAGAACCAGAACCAAGTAAAAGAAGAATCCCACGCAGCCCCCTGATGGCTTCATGTTAGCAGACTACCTGCAGGACAAAAATAGAAGATGATCGGTTTAATTAGATCCTTAAAACTTGTCAAACTTTATTAAAACAACTAGAAGGAGTTCATGTTGTACCCTGATTATATCATCCTGTCCTACTTCCATTTTTACCCATTTACGAAACCATAGTCAGTATATCCGTTTTTCTCATTAAGCATTTTTATGAAAATACCGAAGAACATGAAAATTAACATTCATGTTTGGCAAAATATCTTCATCTAATCTGATTCTGAAGCCTGGTGGGCCATTTTATTTTGTTATATGAAACATCATGACTGCTGGATGAAGCCATAACTTTCAGCGACTGTCCAGCTCTTAGATTATATTGATCGGAATCACAACAGAATATTTCCTTAGAGTAGGCCATGAATAGAGCACAGCAAATTAGTTTAAATCATTAGTTATAACAGTGGGTGCCAATCGTTCATGGCAGCTAAAATATTTGCATGAAACGTCCATTAGATTAATGCTTCATTTTATACTCTAAGAAGTTAAATACAAAGTGACTGAAAACACAAAAGTTTGAAGAAGCGGACACCCATTACAAACCCTGTAAACATTAAATTTAGAGATTTATGTTTTTACTTCTATTTTACACACTATATAGGGTCTTTTTTTAGAAAATTATTAGGTTTAAACATTCCGTAAGATTATATTGTTTGGTTTAAGAGCTGCAAAGAGGACAGATTAAACTTTAATGTCAACATCTTTTAGTTATTACATTGGAGACGGTTAAGGAAGAGGAATGAACCTACAGCTATATGATGAGGTAAACACAGGACACAACTGTTTAGCTTGTTAAACAGCCTATAAAGTGTGATTAATCTTTCTATAATTGAGGTATTGGACTGAGGCACAGTTTTTTTTTGGAAAATACTCAAGATCCGCCTTAGTGGCAAGGCATCCAGGAGGTCAGTGCAATCCCTGCATGACCGGGATCATCTGATGTGAAAAGGAACCTCCAACAGAAGGAGGAAATAAGAGAGGGAGGTTGGAAGGAGCTGTGGTTAACTCCCACCTCTTAAACCTGCTGCTGTGGACAGGGCTGTTCCCACACGGTTCAGCCTGGGGCTCATCTACTGTGTCCCTCACTAAAACATTTAACCCAAAATTCAAGTAAATGTGCACAACTTTTTTAAAATAATAACTTTAAAATCAATTTATGATCAAACATTCATATTTATTTAGCAGAATAACTTAAGTATCAACTTCACAAGCTCTTTATGAAGTCTAAATAGTTTTATGTCTCCTACATGTAGACAGAGGGATGGTTCTACATAAAAAAAAGTTAGTTTAAAGCCATAAGGTCGCAAAATGCTGAACTGTCATTATAATCAACCTCATTCTTAGCTACTCTAATTTAGTTTTAAGCTTCAAAAATCAAATTAAGAATGTGAAAAATCTTAAAGCTTTTTTTTCTGTGCTCCAACTAAAAACCATTGTTTAGGGTTAGAAACATGGAAAAAAAAACCTGTTCTATCTAAATAATGAATATTTAGTACATCTGTTTTTTTTTTCTTTCAATCAACTAGAATTGTGCGGAAAACTACTTAAAGAAAAGCTAAAAGTAAAATGTTCTCGGCTCCAATTCTAATAAAAAAGTACAAAATACAATAATTATTAAAGACATTAACTGAATACATACCACTGACACAGAGAGGCTTTCCCGGGTGAAAAAAACGTTTATTCCGGTTTAGAATGAGTCTTTAGAGTCAAACTGTTTCTTCAATGAGATTCCATCAAACTCCTCCTGTCCGCTGCTCTGACTTGTAGCTGAAATATCCTGTTACTCCTCCCGGCTGCGCACAAAAATAGCCACACACAAAAAAATATTTTACTTATTTAACACAAATAAATAGTTACTGAGAAGAAACCAGTCAGAGCAGAGTTTAAATGAGACTGAGAGCTGTCTGAGAGCCTTTCCTCTCTGTCTCCATGTGTGTAACGGTGCTTCCTGCGGCACCCGCCCAACCAGCGAGACGGGGACAGCGCGCGCCTGTGGGGTTGGATGTTGGGGAGCGCGCGCGTCTAACGGTGTTTCCTCTGTGCTTATCCTCCTAGTAGTGTTAATTGGGGGACTTTAATCACATTTTACCGTCTGAGCGCTCTAGCAGGCCTATTTAACCGATACAAGACAGAGTGGGAAACAACAAACACGTCTGGTTTACACTCAGTGGAATTTTTTTTTTACTCTTAATTTGGTAAAAAAGTAACAAAAAATATAAAAGTAAAGCAGCTTATTTTTAGTCGTGCGGTTTTTTACTTCACGGGGAAGCCCATCAACATGTTCACTCTTGCATAAATTAATCAAATGACTAATTTAATGTGAAACTATTGAACTTTTAGTCCAGAGTGAGCTCAAGTGGTGATAGTCATAAAAAGAGGAGCCTCAAATCAAGTTCCTCTTAAAAGTTGTACTGTATAACTTAAGGTCAGCTTAAATAAAATGCATTCCTAAAAGAATGTCTAAAATGCTTTGCAAGCTCAATTTTATATCTTCTGCAAAATTTGACTGAAAAAACTGATTTAAAGTAGACATACCAGCTTACGTAGGGAATTTTGAAAGTTATTAATGAACAGATACTGAATTAAGAGAAAATGTTAAGTAGTCAACAGGAAAATTATTTCTGTTTTTGCAACATGCAGTTATGGTTTTAAATATTAATGAATTGTATCAATTGTTAAGATTAAGTGCTGTCAACAACAATAAGAAACCATGTATATTACAGTTGCTAAGGCTCTGTTTTGTAAAAAAAAAAATACAGTGTAACATATGAAATAAATGTGTATTTCATTTTTCTAGTCATACTGTTAAAAACGCTTGTCACATGCAAACAGTCACACTCACAACATTCACACATGCATACAGAGATATGCATATCGATAAGCATTTCGGAGATAAGTGCCATGCCTAACCACAAAAATACTTTTTGGCAGTTAAACTCAGTTATTTCTCTTTCCAGATGTCTTCTAATCTTGCGACTATGTGTCACAAGACGTGTTTTGATATCTAAACTTCGGAATTTCTGGACCATCCTGGGCTAATTTTTTTTAATCATTAATATGATAATACTGAAAAATCCGCAAATTGCTCAAACTGACACCAATCTGATTAACTTTCAGCATTCAGAGCTCCCCGGTCAGTAAATCTTTGTCAGGGCAGACAGAGCAGCTGCATAGCTTAGCATTAGATGAATTTATATTAGGTTGTTCCACTGTCTTGTGGAAGAATTGCAAAATAACAAATATTATCTCATAGGTAAGACTAGTTTAGCTGGAGATCAATTGAAACTGCATGTTAGTGTAAAAAGTTTATGAATGCATTTTTTTTTGCTGAGTTTTTACAGCACTAGTGGCATTTTTTTTATGAACAGTATGCTAAAAGTAAAGGTGGTATGATAGAAGGGAAGAGACATGCTTGAAAAGATCACAGGCCAGATTCAAACCCCGTTCGCCCGCATCGTGGACTAAGTCCTCCATACGTGGGTCGTACAGTATGTGCTAACCACTGCACAACCAAATCACACCCCAGGAATGCACATATTTTTAATCATCTGGAGTTTATTTTTCTACTTTATTGAAAGGGCTCTTAAAATCAGCATTCCTAAACCGATATGTTTAAAAAGTAATCTTTATTTGTCCAACATCCCTGTCAAATAATTCTGTAAGTTTGACAAGAAAATGTTGTCACTGGTTGTTCTTTCCAAATGCACATTGACCCATAGAGCCATTATTCTCATCCAGATATTTTCTAAAGTCTATTTCTTTATAATCTACATTTGTATTGGAATTTGACACATAGAGGCGACTAAAAACTGCATTGCCTTTACCCTTTAAAACCCAAATATACAACTACAGTTGTTCTCTAATGAGAACATATATATATTGCTTTTCTGTTAAATGTTCTCTCTTTTTCCAAAAAAAACAAACATTTTTTTTTTATATATATAATCTTCAAGTAAATTTATTTAGATTATTGGGCATTGATCCTGTAGTTCAGTGGTCTCCATGTTTGCCTCACACTCAAACCTAGCAGAAACAGTGTTCTGGGGTGAAAAGAGTTGGAAGCATATGCCCAAGTTGTGAGGGAAATAGGCGTGTGATCTTACCCAATGACAAGGGATCGGTGGCCTAGTGGTTAGAGCAGTGCGCTTTTGCCCTGAGCAGGTTGCTAGTACCCTGTTGGCTCCCTGAGCAAGACGCTTAACCCCCAATTGCCCCACAGGAGCTGCCCAATGCACCCCAAGGGGATGGGTTAAGATGCAGAAATTAGATCAATGATGTATAATTATTATTCAATTATTATTATTGCTGTTGTACACTGAAAAAAAAATAGAGGTTGACAGAACTTAAATTTTCTAGGCAACGTGATGCATTTGGTTTTTTGAGTTTTCCTTACTTAAATTCACTGTGGTTGAGTTTACAAAGATTTTTTAGTTCTGCCAACTTAGGTTTTTGGAGTGTTACATAGAAATTTTGAGTTCTACCAACTTAGGTTTTTGAGTTTCACCTTTAAGTTCTGAGTTCTATCAACTTTGTTTTATGAGTTTGACATATAGATTTTGAGTTCTACAAACTCAGATTTTGTAGTGTTATCTGTAAGTTGAGTTCTATCAACTCAGTTTTTTTAGTCCTACCAATCGTCTTCACTACCCATCATTCAACACACAAAAAATTATGTTAATACAACATTTTTATTGCTTCAAGTCAAACATTGCATCAATAGATACAGTATACTTACAGTTACAACTAATCAGTGTTTAAGTAGTTAGTGTGTGTGTGGCTATTTCAGTCATTACTGTATTACATAAGGACCAAGGTTTAATACTAGTAGTGATTCATTGATTATAACACCAGCTTCTAGTAGTTCTGTCAAGGCCTCAATAGCATAGCAATTAATTTCCTAAAATAGAGCATCTTAAAAACAAAAGCTGTTGTCTAGCACACACTAGGTATGTGTGATGAAAAGTTTCAGAATAGCTATTAACATGTTAAGTTAAGAATTCCTTTTGTGGTCTGTAATGCAGAATACAGTTCTGCTTGAATGTTTACACATCCTCCCATGAAAGAAAATGATTAATTCACACAAGTAATTCAAATATATTTACTAAAGGAATATTTAGTCAAAGAAAATATCAATTTAGAATTTCTGTTAAAAAGTTATTCTAAAAACAAACTTATCAATTATCACATCACAGAAAATGTTCAGTGATTGTCTCAAAGTGTTGCTCAACAAAATCTTAATCAGGCTTCTTTACTTGTTTTATTTATTACTATATACATATTTATTCAAATTCATTGCCATGATTTACATTTTTATGTTTTTTGTTTATCATTACTTTTGTAAATTTAAACTTATTTTACCTGTAGCTGTTTTTCTCTCTCTTTATTGGAAGGGTATGTAAACCTTCAAACACAACTGCAAGTGTTGGACAAAACAAAAAAAATATTTAATCCAGCAGGAGATTAATGACCCACATAAAAGTTCAGTTTGAAAGAGTTAATGGGATGTCTCTTATTTGTTTGCACGTTCCTTTGTGTTCGGTTTGAAATTACTCTGAGCTCATGAGCCTTGTCAAACATGTTCTGGTGCGATTTGCAAGAAGATTCACTGGAGAGAAGCTGGTCAACCTGCTGTAAGGTGGCAGAGGACATTTTAAAACAATGGATCACAGCTGAAAATACCTTTTTTAAGAGCTTAGTATTCTGTCAAGCATGAACTTTTATTTATAGGAGCAGGTCTCATATTAAAAATAACATTTGAAATAAGAATCTTTTCTTGTGCTCCTTTCCAGAATGTTTGCCTCTTCCCTCGTTTTGGCTATAGGTCCTTCCTTTCTCCTTTTTTTTTGTCAAAATAATATGTTATTATTTCTTCTGCTTTTTATTGTCAACTTTTTAATCAAATAACTAACAACCGTTGTTTATTGTTAGTTTAAATGTTTTCATTGGGGAACACAAAACAGTAATGACAGATGTGACGCTTTTATTTATTCACATTTTTTCTCTGGCTTCCATAAACTTTTATGTTAATGTTCCATTTCTTTTTTTTAATAGGATAAGAATATTTTTTTTACATCTAATAATAATTAAATATCTAATAATAGGGTTAGAGTTAGGCTCTAAGTATCTAATAATAATAATTCTAATTAGACAAGCAAAACAGTGACATAACCTATAATAAAAGACTCTCAAGAGACATAAGCGTGGAAAAAAGCAAAACAAAACAAAACTGAAAGCAAAACACACTCTCTACGGAAATGCCACAAAAAAAATAGAGTGAAATGTAAAGAAAATCAGTACAAAAGTGAAAAGAGTACTCCTCTTTTCACTTTTGTACTGATTTTCTAGCTATAATTATTAGAGACAACTTGTTTTTTTTTCTGGAACGCTCTATACGCAGATTCCCCCCAAAAAAGAGAGAAGAATCTGAACTTTAAAGTGTTACTTTTGGGCCAGAGCATTGTGGGGACAGGCTTCTGGAAATATCACTAAGGGTAAGATATGAGGCTAACAGGAAGTTGAGCAACTAGATGAGTTAGTATAGAAATAAACTGGAACACAGACATTAGTTTGTGATAAAAGTGCTTTCTCTCTCAGTGGAATGGGTGACACTAATGCTGCATAAAGATCATTAAAAGATGAGAATTTTGTAAACAATCAGGCAAATGATTTTTTTATTGTATTAATTTCTAAATAGGGTTTTTACTTCATGTACCATATTAAAACCAGTTTTAAAATGTCTGCAGACTGTTCAATGTGTTATATAAAGGCTGCTGACATCATCCTAACATGAGCTGATTCTACAAGTTAAGATGTAAAAATAATGCTTTCCAAAAATAACCATTAAAGAAGAGAAAAGCAATGTTTTCTTCTAGTGTTGCTGTACTCACCAAACCTTTACTTAAGTACAGTAGAATGAAGTGATGAAGTTCTGAGGCCCACTGTTTCAAGTTCAGAGGGAGGAACATTTGTCCAAGAAAAGGTACTGGAGAATTCAAAAGTGCT